CCGTTGCAAAACACGATCCCACAGCCTTGGATGATTTCCTATGCAGCCGCCAGCGCAGGCGGAGCTGGGATAACCCGACCACAACGCGTGCGATCCGATTACTGCGAACAACAGCGCGAGCTAATGCGACGCACTCTTACATGCTGAGGGTGTCGGCACAGCGAACAGACATACATGCATTCTGGATACGATGCGCAAGGCCGTGGTTGGCGCGGGCAGATGGCGGGCACCTGCCGTCAGGAAGGAGTTGTAAACATTGGAGGATGCATGTTGTGCATGACATCTAGTATTGTTTTATTCCCCGCTTTGGCGCTATACAGCGACGACCGTGGAGGATACGTGTTTCTGATCGGCTAGGTAGAGGATAGGCAAAGAGCGAAGTAGTAGACAGAAGGAACGAAGTAGAAAGAGAAGTCTGCAGCGCGAAGGTATGTCGCCTTCATCCAGAGCGCACCGAGTGCTGTCATATCGGCTGTGAGGCTTGTCGTTAACACACTTCCACATGGCGAATGTGTCCTGCGCTAAATATATATTGGATTCTGCAAACTCTCCACGTACATGGTCAATGTTTCTACAACTTCGCGCCAACGACACTACCGCCGTCCAGCGCAATAGTAGCGCCGTTGACATATGATCCGGCTCGGCTCGATAGCCAAATGCAAGTGCCTGCAACATCCTCTGGGCTACCGATGCGTCCCAACGGTATCCCGCTTTCGATAACATCCTTGAACTTTTCCAATGTAGCCTTCATCATCTTGCTTTGGAACGGGCCGCACGCAATGGTGTTGCTTGTGATGCCGCGCTTACCCAGGTGGCTCGCTAGTACTCTGCTCATATGGTGGAGACCGGCTTTGGAAGCGGAATAGGCGAATGTCTCGAGCGCGGGGACGCGCAGGCCGTCGACGCTGCCAATGTTGATGATACGTGCTGGGGAGCTCGGGGTAGAAGCGGCTTCGAGGAGGGGTGTGACGGCTTGGGTGAGCTGGAAGACGCGTTTGAGGTTCAGGTTGAGGACGCGGTCCCATGCAGCGGCGGGATAGTTGTCGTACGACTCGCCCCAGTTGCTTCCGCTATTGTTGACGATGACATCGAGCTCTGTACATTGTCAGCGACTGCTCATTGTCTCGCGACGGTGGTACAGATTACAGCCCACGGGAGGACTTACTGCCTGCTCTCTTCTTCAGCTCGTCGGCTATGTTCTTTGCTGCATCTTCCTTGTATAGATCGGCTGCGATGAAGTCGGCCTTGCCTTTGCCGAGGGCGTTCAATTCCTTGCACGCTTCCTCGCAGGCTTTGGCGTCGCGAGATGATATGTATACTGTAGCACCGTTTTGGACGAAGCCTTCGCTGATCATGCGACCGATGCCTTTCGCGCCGCCTGTGACGAGGACGATTTTGCCCTGGATGAGGGTCAGTTGGAAGATCGGACGTGCGGGTGAATTATGTGCGTACCTTGACATCGAAGAGTGAGCTATTATCCATTTTGCAAATCGGTATAGATTGGACAAAGGGTGGAGGCGTCGTAGGGAGAAATATGGAGAGCCATCGCGACACACGGGTAGATGTTCGTCATCGGAGCTTGCCCCGGATGTTGCAAGCTGGGGGTGAGCCGAGGCTCGGTGCATCGTTCTTCCGTACCGATCCGCAATCCATAGCCTCACATCGACAAAACATCGTGGAGCCTGGTCATCCTCAGCTTATTTTCATCTTTTCTTGGTATCTTCATCTAGTTCGCCGATTAAACTCAACGTATTGTTAAACATCAGACATGTCTTCAAGGGGTACTCGTGTACGACAGGCTCCGCTGTGCTCTAGGTCAACTTGGAGTTGATTATGTATGTAAGCGTCAAGATGCTCTCGTCCAATTCTCTTAACCCCTTCCGTAATCTTGAACATACCCTAGAAGGCCTGTCGGCGACGTGAGTGTGCTCTTTACGACTTTGTGACGATCCCTCCCACGTGACTTCTTGGAATGCGGAAGTGCTTCACCGACTGGAAGCGGAATATTGCTCCAACATTAACACACCTAATACTTTGGTCGATAGAAGGGAGCGCGAAAGAAGCAAAAAGAAAGAGAAACTACAAAAAAAGATTGCGCAAAGCTGGGCAAAAAAGAACAAAAAAAGGGACGGCCATCCAAATCATAACAAGGCCACTCCCAAGTTCGAACCCGCAGAGGACTGGCCTGGGGTCAACGCTGTCCAACACCCGAATTCGAACTCGAGCTCACATACGGACATAAACTTCCGTGAGGTGTGCATTTGGTCCCACGACCCCATGCCTTGTGTTTGATGGAAGATTCCTAAACGCCATATAATATATAGTACAGCAAGACCGCGACCAGCGATATACAATAATATGATAGACATACCGATATCCAGCTCTGTTGGTGTGCGGGTAAGCGAAGGGGCGTGTGTAGGCGGTGGCGCAGCGGGCTCAGTGAAGGGTTGAGTGAGTGAGCACGCAATCGAAAGTCAGTGCGGCCTTTCACTATCTGACCATAGCGGAGATAGTGCTATAAACCGCGACGAGAGTATCATCAAGACGTCTTTTCTAGGAGCCTACTTGCATACGCGTAGTACTCGACTCATGACCTCTGGCAGACACTACAGACTACAGGATTTGTACGGGCGCTGTCGAAACGACCTTCACGAGCCTTACCTCACACACACCAGTATTCGCAGGTGGGAAGTCGAGACCTTCGACAGTGATTGAATAGACTTTCTCACGATCGAAAAGCTTGCGAACCCAACGCAGCAGATGTCGCCTTCCATCCTTGCGCAAATGTTCAAGACGACTGCCCGGTGTATCGATTTTGATCAACGAATTACGAGACGAGTGTTTGTAGCTACCCACGCATTCTTTCCACCCTAGGAGAGCATGAGGTTATAAGAGTACCGTTCGTGATAAGAATAGACGGTCCGGTCGGCAGCCCAGTAGCAAGTGACATGGGTATCTTCAGGATTGTCGCTGGGGCGAAACAGACGTAGAAGAGATCGGAGCGGTGCAAATGTGTTCCAGTGATGCCTGTGGCCCCGGGGATTGTCGAGCGCATAATCTAGTCGCTGATGACTTCTGACGCAACGCCGGAACGAACAATTAGTCGAAAGAATTACCCGACGAGATACCTGATACTAGTATGCTTGACAGGTCGTACAAAGGTACCCGAGTCACGATACCTTCGCAACTGTCACTAGACGCTCCGTTAGGACGTCCTGAGAAGACAGTCAAGTCAAGACTGTGTTCGAGCGTGTGAACTTAAGAAAGAGAGCAATTTTAGTGATACAAACACCCTTCTGAAGATATTATGGCAAAGATGCTCCATTTCATGGTAGGTTACAACGGGCACAAGTAGGCTCACATCGCGACCAGATGTAGGCAGAGCCAACGAATGACGTCATCGAAGTCAGCCCTGGAGTGCAAAGTCGCGCGCAACGCAGATACATGCAAGAACTTACTACAGATATCGAACATCAGATCCGCATCAAGTACACGGTAAAGGGTACTGTACATGCCACGAGACGCATTGTTGATGGGGTACCAGGCGGCCGGTTCACTGCCCAGGTGATGTGCATTGCCTAGGTAGCGGCGCGAGCCGGAAATCATCCAAGATTAACAACGCGCTTTGCCATTGGCTAGCGGAACACTACTGCTTCGGTGTATCAAAAAAAAAGCGATGCATGTGAAATTTTGGGATGACGAGTCGGTGACGGTGTCCTTGGGCATGATTCAGAGGTTGGCTGATGCTCCATGGCTGTTTCAGATGGCGTGATGTCATTGAAGTTGGAAATAGCGTTCCTCTTATTTGTCCTTCCCTTCGTGGCCTCAACATCCACGCAAACCTATATCCCGCAATAGTAAAAACATGTCTGAAGTTACAAGGCATCCCGAGCGACTCACCAATGGAGATGGTGGAGTAGTGAGCTCAATTCGTGACGTGCCTGTCACCGAGCAACGAAGACCTTACATGAGCACAAAAGGCTCAAAGCTTCAACACACCGGTATGTTTCCGCTTTTGAAAAGGTCAACAGCCAAAGTGCTAACACGAGTAGGTACCGCCCGCGCGAATCTCGCCCCATCGGCAGAATCTCCTCAGGGCACCAAAGGCTGGGCGGAACAGCATTCTCACCAGACTGTTCTACAACAACATTGCGATTTTTTCGACCGCGACCACGATGGAGTTCTCTGGCCACAGGAAACATTTGTTGGCTTCTATAGGCTCGGATTTGGTGTCATCCTATCTATAGTCGCGGTGTTTGTGATCCATGCGAATTTCTCGTATCCTACATGCGAGGGCTGGCTGCCTGACCCGTTCTTTCGTAAGTAATCTAGCTCCCAAATTTCGTGATATACACTGACCTTTTACGCCACTCTTGCAGGTCTGTTCCTCAAGAATGTGCATAGGGATAAGCATGGGAGTGACACTGGGACGTACGATCACGAAGGCCGCTTTTTGCCGCAAAAGTTTGAAGACATATTCGCAAAGTATGCCGAAGGGAGAGATTACCTAACCATCGGAGATGTGAGCAACGTGCTCAAAGGTCAGCGGTGCATCGCTGACCCGATCGGATGGGGCGGCGCATTATTTGAATGTAAGTTTTATCTACATAGTACTTTGCAGAATGTCTTGCTGACGGGGCCAGGGACCGCCACATACATTATGCTTTGGCCCGCAGACGGCCGAATGATGAAGGAGGATATCCGTGGCATTTATGACGGTAGTATATTCTACACTCTTGCTGCGAGACGGGAGAAAGGCTTGTGAATGGGGGCTACTTGTCGTGAGCTGCCCTGTAGATTTCTTACTAGCAGTGATGTGTCCTTGCATCCTCATTCTTCTTGCGCCCCGCTTATCAATATCCCTGTACCCTAGATAGACAATATGGCATTGATTCAGGTCACATCAATCAAGCATCACGAAGGCTGGGCGTTCTCAGTATATTATTGGCATCCATTCATGTCTAGCAGACGTTGCTGTGTACCTCAGTCCTCCTCGTGACCTACTCCTCTGTAGGCTCCATCACCGTGGTGTTCAGCAACACCGTCATCTCAGCCATGAGCCGGCTGTACTCTTGCTTCGGCACATCCTCCTTCAAGATAGCCTGGACTTGCGCATGAGACACCCAGAAGCTCGTCTCATCAACCACACGATCTTTCTTATCGCTCACCTTGCTTGGATGCTCAAGGTAGTCGTCGATAGGGAGGAGTAAGGCCGACAAGAGCTGTTCGTCCCTGTCAATCTTGGACATGCCGGGATGTATCAAGGCGTTTTCTTCAAAGGGATCGAACTCGTCAGCCGGCTGGTAGTCCATGGAAAGATGGCCGAAATGGCGGGCCGCTTCGAGATATCCCTTGTGAGCCTTAGCTCGCTTCAGCTCTAGCCCAGCCTGATCATACTCTTCCTCCTCGTCAATTTGACGTTGTCGCTTATCATGCTGTGCCCTCAGACCCATCAACCATTGCAACGTCATTGCCGCACCAAATTTGTCGAACATCTCTTCACTCAGCTCGCCACAGCGTACGGCTTGGATGAAGTTGGCAGGCGTCGGTAGGTTCGGGAGGAGTTCGACCTGATTCGCGAGCACTTTGAGAACCTTGGCTACTGTCTTAGCGCGCCTCGCACTAAAGTAGTGGAAGTCGAAAGGCGAGTTCTGCCAAAGGGCGATGAAGGCTTCACGTCGCTCGAAGTTGTTTGCATCAGGGTCGTACTCAAAGACCTGCGACTCGATCCACGCCTATATTTTGTTAGCTGGATGTATGGGATATGGGGTAGTCAGGAGGATCTCAGTGTAATCTAAGCCTCTGTGGGAAGACTGAAAAGACTGTGAAGATATACAGGCAGTACCATCATGGAGGTGACTTACGCGGAAAAAGGCCCGGACGAACTCCTTGCACCCCTCTCGGCAGTACCTGTGATCGAAGTCTGATGCCCAAGCGAAAGCCATCAAGACGATATTGTACCGGATCTGATCGAAGAATCGGGAGAACGAATGGCCCCTGTCCAGACCATAGAAGAAGATCGCCTGGTTGACCATGAGAGGCAAGCTCTTGTCAGCGAGGAAGTTGGCCTTGGCGATGTCGTTGTACAAGATGAAGAAGTTGGCGAGTTGGAGGAAGGGAGGAGCTTGGGGAACGACTGCCTCGTCGGGATGGAAGTAGATACGGTGGAGAGAGGGCAACAGGGTGATCTCCTTGTTAATCTTGTACGTCTTGATGGCGAGCTTCTCCTCAGCGTTACGGTGAAAGGCCTTGATTTCCACAACATCCGGATGCTCAGGCTCAGCGTTGTCGTCCATGGCGACGTCGCCGTCGCGCTCGCGGTTGACGTCAACGTTGTGCTCCGCGACGTTCTCGCATTCGGTAAAGAAGACGATGTCCCCAGACTCGACGCCGTTGTCTACGTTGTCTGCGCTAACGCCGGTGTCGGGAAGATCACCCATGCTGACATCGTTGTCGTTCGGGCTGTCCATGATGTCGGTGGTGTCGTGTATACGGGCGTCAATATACGGACGAGTGTGATGGAGAAAGCAAGAAGAGAGCGGGGATATTGCGAAAAGTCGTCAAAACAACAAAAAAGTCCGTGGGCGCACAATCCGTAAGCGACGGAAAAACTAGATTTGCGGTCAGCCGACAAGTTCTTCCGCTGATTCTGTTGTAGTGAAAGGAGAGGGTGGCGAGTTGCGTACCTGCGACCCCTGTCTACTCTGCAAACGGGCGTCGGCGACATCGCTAGCGATATCGAAGCAGCACTTGTTTCGAGGGGGGACTGGAAGATGGCGTAGGATACATGGTTGGGTGTCAATATGGAAGTGCAGGTCGCTGGTCTATATACATGTCGCGAGACACATTGAACAAGCAGTGAGTGTTTGCGACACCAACGGACTGTGTTCGTTTAAAACAGGAGCCCGCAACAAGTGACACCCTCGAGGTCTGTCGACCTGATCAGCTACGTCTCTTGTTTGTTGCTCAAACGGATGTCGGTGACATGACGACGTGCGTTAAGGAAGAGTGCATTACGGAAACTAGAGATGGACGTACCCTGGTAATATTCACAAGCAGATGACAGTAACAAGGTTAAGATGATGGACTAAGATCGTGTCGTGTACGTCCCAGAACAAGAGATACAGCACCCAAGACATGATTAAGTCCGCGCAGGGAAACAGTTCGGAGGACAGATACATCGTAGACATACCAACGTCGAACATCCAGACATCTGAGCTTGGACACCCATACTACTTCTTGTTCACTTTCCATTCCCTGTATGATTTGTCCTCGGGCTCGTCTTCATTCTGCTCACCCTACTCCTCATTCTGTTCATCCACCTCCCAGTCGGACCAATTACGCTCGTCGTCAGTATCAAGAAGTGACACACGCAGGCTGTTCAGTTTCCTCCTCGCATCTCGCAACTCCGCCTCCAAGTCATCCACGTCCCGCTTCTCGAATATCAACCGCTCTTTGTAGGCCTTCGCATTCTTCTTTTCAGCAGCCAAGTCTTCCTTCAAAGCATCTTGACGTTCTATCAGCGAAGAGATCCTGTTATCCCTTTCCTCGACTTCGTGTTTGAGTCTCGCGTTCTCCTTAGTCAACTTGCGTATGCGGTATTGATCCCGCGTAAGGAGGGGTTGGGCGACGGTTGTCTGACGTTCGCCGGGTGTTGGCATCTCTTCTTTTTTGGGCGCTCTGCGTTGTAGGTTAGCGGAACTCCGGCAAAACGCTTGGACAGAGTGTGCAATTTTACTTGGTTTGTACCCGATCGCCAGAGTTGTAGCTTTGAGAGGGCTGTGACGAGGGCCCAGCGTGTGGTATCATAGAAGAATTCATCTCCGAGATATCCTCGCTACGCATTCTAGCGGCTTCAATATCGAGGGAATAAATCTCAATGAAATTCATTTTTCATGTAAGGCAGTTTGTAGTGAGGATGTGGTTTTGCAAAGTCGTGGGAGTTAAATCAAAGGCAGTGTTCACATCCACGCTCGGTACCAAAGATACGGTAATTATCGTACCAACAAAGCGGTAGTAGCAGTAATAGTAATAACCATGTTCTCATCGAGTCTACATAACCCATTCCAATCATAACCTCATCATTCATAAGTATACCAACTCTTTTTTAGCTCCCTCATCGCATCCTCTGCTTCCTTCCACTTCCTAGTCCCCTTTTCCGCGTCGCCCATCCACGTCATAATGCGTGCTCTGTTTCTCATATACTTGGACTCTGCCCTTTTCCTCTCTTTCGCTGTCTCCTTCAGGTAAGAAAAGTCGTCGTACCTGACAGCTTCCTTCCAGACGTCGCGCATCCTTGGACTCCACAGACAGCAGCTGGACCCGACATCAGGTTCTTCACCAGGGACTAGCTGGATCGACTTGTTGAACATGTGCGGTATGGACGATGACGTGGACCTGGACTGTGTGGCGGGCCAGATAAGCTCGTCGTAGCATTGCTCACAGACTGTGAACTCTGGTAGCGAAGGGATGAAGTGCCATGGTTTGCGGAACAAGATCTTGTACCTTTGGCACTCGCCTTTGTAGGAATTCTCGCGGAGCAATAGGACGAAGCGGCTCAGATCAGGGAGTTGACCGGACAACTCAGCCGCGGCGTCTAGCTCGACAAGCAAATCTAGGTACTTCGGGAAGCGGGTTGAGCTCGTACGCAAGCTGCATACGTGCCTGTCGTCCTTCGGCATCTTAGCGAAGCAACCACGAAGAGAAGGCAGCAAGGCCTCAAGCATCCTCCTATCGCTCGAGCATATAGCAAAGTTGGCTACACGGGTACCGTCGCGTGGGTTTGTAATGCCGTACCAGCTAATGCGGTCTTCTGCACCAGCCTCACGATCTCCAGGACACGGTTTGGCTACTGTGTCCATGACACCTGCAATTGCGTTGATCAGATCGAGCGATTTGCGACCTCGCTGAAGCGTCAACAGCCACGCAAGACGTGCCCATGGGCTGCTGAAATCACAGCTCCGCTCCAACGAATAGTCGTTCAGCCATACCTGTTTGAAGTCCACGTCGAAGGGTGTACCGGCGAAGACACCCTCGTAACAACTAGGGCAAATGTTGAAGTTCTTGTTGTCTTGGAGCGCGTACCAATCATCGTAAGGCCCAGATTTGTAAGGTCTTGGGCAGTCTGGAAGTTTTCTGTCCATTGAAGCAGTCCTTCGAGATGACCTGTCACGGCGGCCATCGTGAGAGCGGAAACTACCCGACCTGGACCTCCTTGGTCGTGAAGGCTCCTCCAATGTCTCTGTGTCTTGCCTCCTAGCCCGGGAAGGTAGATCTCGCGTGTACGGCGAGCTAGGAATTGCCGGCGACGTCGCTCTCGGGATGTCAACGTAGCTTTGCCTCGGTGAGCAGACGGTGGAATGATCGAATTGATAGTGCTCTTCGGGTGGCATAAAGACGTCAATGAGCTGGTCGTCGATGGGATATGGCAAAGAGTCGCCTGTGGATTGCCTCGCGGGAGATGGACTGTGCACATCGATGCGAGGCCTCGGGAGTGGCATGGTGTCATGTCGGCCATATCGAGAGGGTTGTCTTGACCTGTCGTCGGAAGGTGCTGGAGGATAGGTGGAGTGCCAATCTGACTCGGATACGGGTCCGCGACCGCGGCCGGGCGAAGAAGGTTGGAACGAAGAAGCGAGCGGAGAGGTTGGCCGAGGGCCACCGCGGGACGATGGTCGAGAGCCTGGAGGGGAGTCTCGCAGTCGGGTAGGCAGCTGAGGCGAGGGCGCTCGATACGATGGCGAGCTTGGTCTGGACAGCGGGCGTGAGCTGTTAGCATAGACAGTATCTACGGGCACAGGCCTCGATGGCCGCGTGCTGTGCACCGAAGACGAAGACGACCGCGGCGACTCAGCATTGGGGTACTCCTTGTACGAGCCTGACGAATCACCCTTACGTATCGTCGGCAGAGGACGCTGCCCGGAGTCGTGTCGACGCGGCTCGGGCCTCTCCTGTGTATCGCGCAGGTTTGTCCTCAGGTCCTCCCTTTGCAGGTCGCTCTTCACGAAGCTGTACCGCGCGGGCTTTCGTTCGGTTCGCAGGTGGGTCGTGCTGTGCGCTTCGGAGTCAGAGTCAGAGTCGAACACGTATTCTTTCTTTGACGCCGGCGACGTGTAGGAATTGTGTCGGCTTTCAGTTGGCATCGGTCTCGACGGTCTGCTCGCATCTGGCCTGGGATGGCTGCTGTTCGAAGGCGTGATTGGTTCTGGCGAGCGCATGTAGTCTGCAGGCGAGGGCGCGGTAGACTCCTTCTGGGGCTTCGAGTAGCCATAGGGCGCCCTCACGCGCTCAGTAAAGACGGGAGGGTCTGGGACGTCGGTGTTGATGTGCGACATGCCCCCACGGTCAGCAAAGCTGCGCCGGCGCCGGTCCCGAAGCGTGCTGCCATCGTCATCGGTGCTCGATTCGGAAACAAGCACATAGCGGCGGTCGTGTTGTGCGACGCTCGGCTGCTCAATCTCGTCGAGCAGGGAGTCTTGGTCGACGGTGCCCCGCGTGTTGCTCGGCGGCTCACCCTCGGCCTGCCCTGACGACCCCACGGAGGACGGCGCCTCTTTTGCTAGCGCCTCCCTCTCGTCCTCGACGCTCGGTGACGGCGGCCATGTCTGCTCCTGCCTGTGCGACCTGTACGAATGCGGCGCGGGTCGTCGAGGTGGCAGGGGTGGAGAAGTGCGGGGCTCATAGGTGTAGGTGTTGTAGGACGGAGTGTAGGACGATGTGTATGGATTGCTCTGGCGCATGTCTGCCAGCTGCTCGCGCGCCTCAGCTAGAGTCTTATCGCTCCTCGCATAGCCGTAGGGGTCCGTCTCTCTTGATGTATAGTGGGAGTCATGGCGCGGGCGGTGGTGGTACCGGCTGTCGTATTCGTAAGACATGTATGGGCGTACGTGAGCGATGGTCAGGCGAGCAGTGAGAGACTAGGCAGTGGCTTTGGCGAGCATGCAGCTTGGGCAACTAGCTAGGGCGGCCTCAAGAGTAACAAGACGAAGATAGCGGAGAGGGCAGGTTTACATAGCGCGGCAACAACGGCCATGTTGGATGTACAAAGATGCTAGGTGACGCATGTAGCCGTCTGTGAATTGCGGGTCGCGGCTTCCTCGCGCCTTCGCCCTGCACTGTCCCCACCGCCGGTAAAGCCCTATTTGCTCGCTTCCCGTCCTCTGTTCAACGCCCACCGCCTGTTCGCACATCTTCGCCTTGCTGAGATATCTGGGTTATTCCTTGGAAGTATCGTCACGACACAGTCATCTTCATCGCATTTGCTCGTGTGAACATGCGAGTGTTGTACCTGTATTATCGAAGTGTCGTATCAAGCATCATAGTTCCCTCTAGCATCTTCTAAACCCTTGTCTGAGCGAAAAATAGCAGCATTCGCCATGATGCTACTGCACAGTTGCACTATGACTTCATGGTACCTGGCCGATTCTTTTCTTGTATAGATCCAATAGTTATATGCCATATTATGGCCATGGTTTGTGGTGCATCGACTGTAGATCTGCAGATTTGGGAAGCCGCTACCTGCCCACATGCAAATATAGAACACGACCCTTCAATAACATCATACACCTATCCTCATATAATCGTAATACATACAACTACCTCGCGCCCATGTCTACTTCAAAACCTCCCCTCTTCGCACGACCGGCAGCCTCCGGAACAGCGGTAAACGGCACTTAGCACAGCCACACAGGCTGCAGCCACCTCACCACGTGCCTCACCAACCTTTCAACCCTATATCATAATAGAGAACATGATTCCACACATCACGCAGTTGCAGAATAACTTCCAAGGCGCAAGAAACTGACCGTCGTCTTCAGCCTCCATCCGGTCACAGTCTGCCTCGCGCCTCCATTCCAAGGTTTCTACTGCCTACACGACTGAACCGACCGGTATGCAAAATCACAAGCTCACAACCAAGTGAAGCATTCACCGGATATGCGGCTCTGCTCGTACTCAAAGAACCATACCTTCTCGTAATCACAGAACTGAGTCGTTGTAATCAAGCCAGGCGCGTGACGCATGGAGCTGCAGGCAGAAAGTGGCTGTGCAAGGCGTTCCCGGAAGCCGCCGAAGACGGAGCACTGAACCACCGATATATATACCAGTCGCAGGAGAGACTCGGAACTCTGCAATCCTACTATGCCAAAAGATACAGCTATCTCTGTTAAATCCGATGGATTCCACATTTTCTGCTTGAACTGGTGTGAACCAGCGTCGTAAGCCCGATAACTCCATACTGACACGTTGTGTCCGCGGCATGGATACGCCCCGTCCTACCTAGGTATGGTATGCTGTAGCAACAACTACGTATATAAGCTGTAGAGAGAAGGTAAGACTGCATACGACTCAAATACCAGAAGAAGCAACAGCAGTCAACCAACAAACCTCATTGACTCAATCCCAAACATGTCCGCCCCCACTCCCACCGTCAACCTACCCAACCTCACAACCCACCAATCCATAACCGACACCCTCCATCGCCTGACCCTCGGCCTAGACAGCAACGACCGCTCCCTCGTAGAGTCCGCCTGTCACAAAACCCCCCAGATGACATTTACCTACGGGCCGCTGGGCGCCCAACAAACTGTCACAGGCTTCGACGCAATCAATCCATTGTTAGATCGCGTCTTCAACCTCATCACCACACATACCGTGAGCAATGTGAGAATAGAAGCGGAGAGCGAGAATGCGACCTTCGCGCGCATGACGGCGCATGTCATTTCGTACCATGTGAGAGAGGAAGAGGCGTTTGTGGCGGCTGATACGAGTTATACGGCGAGTTCGCTGTACGACATGCAGCTGCTCAAAGACGAGGACGACGGAGGATTGTGGAAGATCACGACATGGAACGCACGGATGTTGTGGACAACGGGAGATATCAAAGTCTTGCATCCATAAAGACATAATCTGCATATATCGACTATATAGAAGGAAACTTTTCTTTCCTCTCATTCTTCCAGGTATCTTCTTCTTTCCGTTAAGGTTTTATATCGTAAGGAAATATCGGTTACATAGTAGATCATATCGCTAATCCAGACGCCGGCGCCGAACCAACATGTCCCATTAATCGCTATTCTCGCACAGACGGACCAAAATGTCGCGCGCACTTGTGTGTCGTAAACACATGTACATGGGTATCAGAAGCAGCTTGCATAGAGCCAAAGGGGGAATTGAGAAGAAATCGCTCGGATGGGAATTCGGGTTAAGAAGATAGGAGTGTGGCTGGATGGTTCGTCGCCGCACTTAGAAGTAGTTGCCCTTGGGGATGGCGCAGAAGATGCCGACAGCGACGGCGGAGATGAGAAGAGCGCCGAGGATGGCTTGGATGAAGATGGTGTCCTGGATCTGGCGGAGAGCAGGCTCTTGGATCCAGACCTCACGGTCAAACACCTTCCTCACGACATTGCGCTTCTCGTAGCGGGCGACCCATGGCTCGTCTTCCCAAGAGTTGCTCGACGCGTGCGAGTCAACGCTCTGGAAGGAGTCAGACTTGAAGTCGTAGCTTTGCGGCTCGTCATCGGAAGCGAAGAGCTCCCATGGTCGCAGATGACGGTGGTGCATGCCGTGAAGAACGACACACATGCCCTTCCAGGCTGCGATCAACGTTGAGATACCAATGAAGAAGCCAATGAGGGAGATGACGCGCCATGCACGACCGGCGCTGCTGAGGGTGAGGATGATCGCGACGATCAAACCAGCAACTATGCCGAAGATACCGAGGCCGCGGGCGAAGATCACACGCGGACGGTTGCCATTGCATATGGTCCACCGAACAAAGTTGGGGTGCGCTTGGCAACGGAGCGACCACTCGACGGTGGTGATGATGTCGGTAAATGCCGACGGATGGGTCGTATTTTGCAGAGCGTGCAGCAGTGCTGTGCGCTCTTTCGACGAGAGGTTGAGCTGTCGCGAACCATTGTCGGCAATGTAGATGGAGATGATGCGGTTGATCTCTTCCCGGTAAGGCTGGACGGATACTGTGGTGGATGAGCGATTGGACCCTAGAGGCGAAGAAAGAAAATTAGCAAAGGTAATACTCACGTGGTTTCCACTTTAGTCCTGCGTTATCAAACGCACCAGCAGCACGTTGAGTGTGGTCAACTTTGCCGGTAGTCATGCTATCATCGTACGAGTCAAGGGAGTAGTCGCGCCTGGGTTCGACGCTGGTTGGCGTGCGAGGAGGCGTGAAGAAGGGGTTGTTGCTACCCTTCTCCGAATCAGCGACCTTGCCCTCGTTGGCGAAATCGGTGCCCTTGAGCATGGCTGCAGCGTCGGCATTGTAGCTGACGGTGCCGGGCCTGGCTTCGGGGTTCTTTTCGCCAGTCCACTCGGGAGACAGAACCCTCTCGCTTTCCGGCAACGCATTGAAGCGCTTGACGTAGTCACGGTACCAGAGGAAGAATTGCAAGTTCTCAGCCGACAGTTCGATGTACTTGAGGAAGTTCATGAAGTCGCGGACAGTGCAGGGCTGGGAAGTGTCAGCAAAGGTACTTGGAAAGGTGATGCTCATGGAAGTGGCAACGTACAGGGCAAGCGCCGCCAGCGATGATGGTGTCAAAGGACAAGGCCTCGGGAATACCGTGGGACATGCCGCTGCTGCCAGACTTGATGGATGCATTGATCGACTTTCGCTTGTCTTCGGTGTTGGTGGAGGAGGCAGTGCTGGGACGAGGAGCTCGCTCTGGACGGCGATAAGATAGTGAGTAGACCATATTGGGCAGGATCCGGGGTCGAATCTGATCGCGGAAGGAACGTGGTGTTGCGGGGTGGCGACAGCACGTGGTCAATTGGTGAGATGGCAGGAGCAACCGTTCACACGCACCGTGCCGCGCGTGGAGATGGAATGCTATATACCTACTCGGCCGATGGGGCGAGTGGAGTAGTGAGACTGAGCTAGCAGAAGATCTGGAAGAAAGCTACTTGCGTAGTCGTCCAGTAGTCGAGCGCTGAGACCGATTGCCGCAGGGCAGGGTGGTAGCGTGGATCTGACTAGTGAGGGCGAGCAAAGCTTGGGATGGAGGTAGAGGAAGTTTGCGCGTGGCCTCTGGCGAGGTAAAGTAAAGAAAGCAAAGTCACGGTCGAGCAGCGGTGTTTATACCCGCCTGCTCGGCATGGCCGTATTCCCACCAGGTCTTCCAGAAAGCGGTCCCTATTCGTGGCAGGCACATGGCTCTCCACCTTCACAGCTTCCTGCCGTCTGCGGGCATTTTCCCAAATGAGCCAGCTGTAGCGTGGGGACGTCAACGCCTGGTCGCACATGGGATCCTCGAGGTCGCCGACAAGTAGGTGCGCCCCACCGCGGCCGTACAGTAGACGGCATCGTGACGGACGGTAGACGCTAGCATGCCGGGACATCAAGATGTGCACTAGGCCCACGCGCCATGAGGAGTCGGCAATCTGGGCAGAACCCGTGTCGATCGTCTGGACCCGGCTAAGCTCCCTTCACAATTGCAAATCTCTGCCCTGTTTGCCGGCTTTTTGGCTTTCTACGAGACAGCGTGGCGCCGACGGTCAAATGTCACATTGCGGTGCAGCCGTTGGGAAATGAGGACTCGACACGCCTGCGTTGTCAGATTGCCTTGGTGTTTCAGCGATGCGAGGCATCTCAAGCTTAACGCTCGCAAGTGCGGGCGGAGAACCGAAGCGAGCGACGGTCAAGAAGCTGCTTCGAGAAGCTGCAAGAGTGACGTCCTCTCAGACAGCCACATTGTTGTTTTAGACAGCCACAAATTTCATAATTGTACGCGATCGACGCTGCATGCATAATGCCAGCGAGCAGATGAACGCCAATAGTCCAATCAGCGGCCGTCAGCGTCCTGATGGGCGGTCAGGATGCGCGCGCCCGGCCTCCGTCGTCACCATGCGTACCAAACTTTGCAACCATCGCTTAAGCCTGGACCTTCTCAAACATCTCCTCCCCAAAAGCTTTGCTCCATGTCCTCACCACTGGGAGTAGTCTTGTGGCTTGCGAGTCAGTATGATAACGTCGAACTGGTGGGTAAGGCAAAAGAAGAGCTGATGGCGCCCAGGCTA